TAAAAGTGCGGACGTGATAGCAGAGATTGTATTTATAGAAGTGTAAGTATACGTGTGGGTGAAGAATCAAACAGTTAAGATGGAAGTGCAGACGTGGTAACAGATACAGTAAAGATGGAAGTTCTGGTGTTGGTGCAGAAACAAACAGTAAAGACGGAGTTGCAGATACTGTAGTAGAGACAGTAAAGATAGAAGTGCAGGTGTGGTAGCAGAGACATTAAAGATGGAAGTGCAGTTTTGGATGTAGAAACAAACAGTTAAGATAGAAGTGGAGATGTGTCAGCATGCAAAGACAGTAAAGGATGAAGTGCAGGTGATGGGGCTAAGGATGAGGGAGTGTGGGAGCAGAGGGAGTAGAGATGGAAGGGTGGCCAAGCGTCGGAGGAAAAACAGTCCATATTGATTTCAGAGGTTGGAGCAGAAGTAGCAAAATTACAATTGTGGGAACGTGGCTAAGATGCAACTATAGGTTCGTGTTCAGATGCAGTAAAAAGGCAGGTGAGGATAAAGAACCAGATGCAGTAAAGATAAAGGTGCGGTTGCAGCTACCGTTGAGGCTAAAGACAAAAAACAGGTAAAAACGTAACGAACATCCTAATGATGATGACACATTTGTTACTTTCATTATTGTATATCAACTCGTTCTATTGCAAATTATTATTCATTCAAAATATATCTCCGTTTCTGATTGGCTAAAATCACATGCATAATTCTTCATAACCAGCTACTGTTGACCAAACTTGGAAGAAATTTGCCATATTGAACCGATGAGGTCAAAAGTGCAGCTAAATTGCAGATTATTGAACCGCTAACCAAGAAGACCTGGGGACGAGTTTAAGTTGTTTTCGAAGTGAGTGATGGCGGAACATTTCACTCGTTTCACGGCGAACTGTTGTCTAAAAACAAGGTAAGAACAGCAAGAAGACAACTCGACGGACGACATCTGCTAGTTGGAGTATATTTGCAGACCTGAACATCCCTTTATCTCCTAACCTTCCCGATAAAGATGCACTATCGATATCAACTTAACATCGACGGAAGTAAGCACGATTTTGCTTTTTTTTAAACTTGGAATTATTTGGAATGAATAATAAAAGTATAATTCTTCAAATCCTACGAAAGCCAAATTCAATAATTGCTAATTATCATTCATTCAAAATTTTTTTTCATTCAAAAGTTTTTTTTTTCCCGTTTCTGATTGGGTAAAACCACACGCATAATTCACCATAACCAGCGGCTGAACTGTCTTATTGAACCGATGACGTGAAAATGACGTCATGGGTTCTAAAATTTGTCATATTGAATCGTTGACCGAGGAAACCTGGAGACAAGGTTGAGTTATTTTGGTTGTTTGAACAAAATGGCGGAATTGTCGGACGGACATTGTACTCGTTTCATGGCAAAATATTGTCTAAAAACATAGTAAGAACAGCGAGAAGTCAACTCGACGGACAACATCTGCTATTTGGAGTATATTTGCAGACCTGAGTAGACCTTTATTCGCTAAATTCCCTGAAAAAGATGCACTATCGATGTGAATTTAACATCGACCGAGGTAAGCATTTTTAGCTTGTTTTTAAAGTTGGAATTATTTTGAATGAATAATAAAATAATTATTGAATTCGGCTATCGCAGGATATGAAGAATTCTGCAGATCTCGGAGGGTGTTATCGACCACCGCCTTCGGCCTCGGTGGATAACACCCTCCTCGATCTGCAGAATTCTTCATATCCTTAACTCAGCCTCATTCAATAATTGCAAATTATCTCTCTAATAATGATAGCATGTATTACCTTCCGTTCCTCCGTAACATGAATTGATATTGGCGCAGTATTTTTTATTAAGAGGAGCGTCGTTCTTATCGCGGACACACCAGTAACAGCCCACAACTCCATCACAAGAGTTCGAATTTAACTTTTTGTCGCACTGAGGATCAAAGCACTTCAGCAAACCCTTTATGGAAGGATCATTTACTTGTTCAGAAGGGACAACAGGCGCTGGTACTGGGCAAATAGACACACTGTAGGCAAAAAAAGAGAGAAAAAGTTCACCTTTTCTATAAATTAACTGTTATTTTGAATATTACGGGATAAAGGTTGACCTGGGTAAGTATTTAGGTAAAGCCTTAACGAAAAGATCACTTACTTGATTTCGGGGTTACGCTAAAGAAAGAAATATAATAAAATACCGCCAGAAAAGAAATACAGGTCATAAAGCCAAGTAATCTCTTAAAAATTATTCGATAAGAAAATATAAATGTCCTGAAATCACGAAGCCTTGCCATTAATGAATAGCAAATAGGCCACTGTTCACGAGTAATTATTAATTCTTTGGATAGGTATACCTCATACTTATGATTATGAAATGATTAGATGTCATACATAGGCTTATTTTAGTCCTAGTACACCTGTACATTTAACATAATACCAAATTTAGTTAAAGCTCCAATATCTGGTTTGTTTGTTTTTTTTTTTTAATTTGTGTTTTTTTTGTTTTGTTGTTGTTTTTCATTTCGTTATTGTTTTTTTTTTTCTTGGTAAATATTCGTAGCCCATTCATCTTTCGATCTGGCACATACCCGACGTTTAAAGGGGCTGTGTCACGGAAGTCCAGTTCATTTTGTTTAATATTGCCAATTACTCGCCCTCAATCGCTATGGAACTTAAAGTAAGCAAAGAAATTAAAGGTAAATGACAAAATTAGAGATCCGAGACAAACAAATATGTCTCTTGAGCATTATTTTTGAAGCTGCAAGCAGCAGGGATCAACTTTGAAAAAGTGTTAGGCTGAACAGTTTTCAAAAACCCTAATGGGCCATTTTACAGTTGTTGGCTTGGTGCCCTAGCCTTTGAGAGAACGTGAGGCTGAGGTTAACCTCGTTTTGATACAAACCTCATTCCTTTTATAATGTAAATTTTGCTTAAAAAATATTAGTTAGCATAAGAAAGACATGATTTACAGGGGCGGATCCATGATTTTTTTTAGGAGGGGGTGCACTCGTCTCTTGCTCTACTTCAACACCAATACACCACATAGTTTTTTTTTGCAGAATACCAGTTGTATTAGAGAACCGCAGGTCATCTCAGGGGGGGGGGGGGTGCGCACCCCCTGCACCCCCCCCCTAGATCCCCCCCTGATTTACATAATAAAGCAGGAAGGGCTGTATCAAAACAAGGTCAACTCCAGCCTCGTTTTCATCTGCAACTATAAAATGGGCTATTTCAATCCGTTTCAATCTTTTTCGGTTTTGCCCATCCGTGGCATCTGTTGTTTCTGTTATGCTATTTTAACCTTCCTGTAAAGTTTTAAGCGGTTATTTTTATGTTTCTCTTAATTTAACGGACATTTTGTAATTTCATAACTTGGCTGAATTTCGTGACACAGCTCCTTTAACCATTAAAAGTCAATAAAGCTAGTGTGTAACGTGATTGTCTTATTTTTTGAAATGTGCTTACTTGCTGGCTGGGAATTCATTTCTGCAGTAACGAAAGTCAAGCCTTGAAATGCATGGACACTCGCAACTTGACACCGGTGGATTGGAGCATTCTCTGTTGGTTCCGCACGTGATGCAACTTCCAGATGAACAGGAATCATCCCGCTTTTTGATACCTAGACGAGAACGACATTCACGATGAAGGCAAATATTAAGTGTTCACCAGCCCCTTATGCTTCCAGGTTTTCTTACTTCGAATATCATCTCTCTAAAGTAAACACTTATGTCCAGAAATGCATGCAATGGCGAAAATGGCGAAAGTGGCGAAAAATCGCCAGCTGCTGGCGATTTGAATTGGACGCCAAAAGTGGCCCCTTGGAGGTTGACGATTTTGGCGAAAATGGCGATTTTGGCGAAATTGGCGATTTTGGGAAAAATCGCCATGCATGCAATGGCGAAAGTGGCAAAACTGGCAAAAATTCGCCAGCCGCTGGCGATTTGAATTGGATGCCAAAAGTGGCCCCTTAGAGGCTGGCGATTTTGGTGAAATTGGCGATTTTGGCAGAAATCGCCCTGCATGCAATGGCGAAAATGGCGAAACTGGCGAAAAATCGCCAGCCTCTGGCGATTTGAATTGGATGCCAAAAGTGGCCCCTTGGAGGCTGGCGATTTTGGCGAAAATGGCGATTTTGGCAAAATTGGCGATTTTGGCAAAAATCGCCAGAGGGCTGGCGATATGCAGCAAAATATTCAAATTGGATGCCAAAAGTGGCCCCTTCAAAATAGATAATTAAAGAGGTCCTTATAACTGTGAGGCAAATTACTTGCCTAATAAGAGGCCCCAATAACTGTGAGGCAACATTTATCAAATACAACTGAATCAAATATATGACAAAACAGCTTTACCTAACTGTCAAACAACATTATTTTATCAAATACAACTGAATCAAATATATCTGAAAACAACAAATGGAAGTCGTTTCAGTTAAGCCAATATGTATTTGTGCCATGTACTTCACAGGTTAAGTAAACATTTTCTTACTTTCGATGTCGCTTGACTTACCAAACGTGATGTGATGCGCTGAAATATCACACTAGCATCATTTGCTTTTGTATGGTTCATTCCTTTCAAAGACTTACAAGTCCACTAATAACTCGAGGAGAGAACTACCAAGTCCTTGAAATCATAATAATTCCTTGCCATGGACACTCTAACTTTTGAGGTTCAATGTAGACCTTAACAATCCTCACTGGTTACAATTCTCTTCACATTGCTTCCATTAAATTGTGAGGCATCCTTAACTCAAAAGCGATTGCGAAACGCATGGTTCCTGGCTAAAAGATGCTTTCACGATAACCAGTGTGTGCCCTTCATCCTTTTTTGTATCTCCACTATACACATTATCTTCTTCCGTCGTTTTAAACTCTTCACTTTCTTCTCGCACTTACTTGTTTTGTTCTTTAGAGAAACGGTCCCCTAAAAATAACGAAAGCCGAAATGTCCAGCAGCTTGCATGCGCCATTTTGAAATGTGGGAATTCGCTTATTTCAATTCATGTAAACCGGCACGAAATCTCACTTGTGCCCAATACTTCACCGCATTTATTGAACATAAACATTGGATCAAAGTAATAACTTGTTTGTCTCTTTCATAAAACATATCCCATTCAAACTAATTCTGTATCTTTTCATCAACTAGATAAATGAAAAGAGAGTGTACATGTTTGTCTCGTTCTTAAAAAATATGTCCCATTATTGCTTTATGAGGTGGGGCCAGAAATTTAGAAAATGTATTGTTTTTTTTGCGCTGAGACCACCAAACCAATTCTCAGTACAATATGTGTTCCATTAAATTGCTAATGCAAATGCTCGTCGAAACACGTCACCCGGCCTTTTTACCTTCTATTTTAACAATTGCCTGAGAGTCCCTGTGAACGACATTAATCGTTTTGCTTACATAGAGTGACCACCAAAGTCGGCTGGGAATGACATTAATCGTTTTTACTTACATAGAGTGGTTATCCAAAATGGACTATTTCAACATGGCCGCCGCGTGTATATAACAACAACTAAACCTTACACGTTCATGTTCTGTGAAACTGCAATGAACCAGCTCGTTTATATATACTTGTACGATTGAACGCCATTATGACAAACAGGATGGATATACAAGGCAATACGGACCATCTAATTATCTGAATGCGTAGCCAAGAACCAACCTGGATTCCTCATAACAGATAATGTTGAACTGTCGCTATTCAAACAATGCCTACAAGCCTGGAAAATTAAGGATACCTATCTTGGATTTTTTGGTAAGAAAGTTGCCATGAACATTACGAAGATTACCATTTACTGATAATCGAATACAACTCGTTGGCCATTCGATTTGAATTGAGCAAGAAATTAGTTATAAGTGGTAATTCCCGACCAAACACTCTTGTCTGGGACGAATTTCAAATCACAAGAGGTTATCAGTTAAAGGTAAAAGCATTAAAAACAGATTAATGACACTTAAGTTACAGTAGCGTTGTCATTATTAGTATACAATTATACTATTGGAAACATTTTTATATTAATATGTGGTTAACTATTTGGCAATTAATAGCCATTTCAAAAGGGACCCTTTGCTATGTCATTTCAATTTGTCTTGACAAATTAGGTATTTCATCGAGTAATTGCCATTTCTGCCAAAACACGTTTTAAGAACGAGGCCAACATGCACTCTATATTTTTTTTTTATTTGTGGTTGATGAAAAGATACAGAATTAGTGCACGCCATTTTCGCCAAAATCGTCACTTTCCAAAGGGCCTCTTTGCTATCTCATTTGCATTTTTGTTTATAATTTGGTGATTTCGGCGATTAATCGCCATTTTCGCCAAATACGCCATTTTCGCCAATATCGCCACTTTCCAAAGGGCCCCTTTGCCATCTCATTTGAATTTTTGTTGACAGTTTGGCGATTTTGGCGATTAAGCGCCATTTCTGCCATTTTCGCCAAATACGCCATTTTCGCCAAAATCGCCACTTTCCAAAGGGCCCCTTTGCCATCTCATTTGAATTTTTGTTGACAGTTTGGCGATTTTGGCGATTAAGCGCCATTTCTGCCATTTTCGCCAAATACGCCATTTTCGCTAATATCGCCACTTTCCAAAGGGCCCCTTTACCGTCTCATTTGAATTTTTGTTTACAGTTTGGCGATTTTGGCGATTAAGCGCCATTTCTGCCATTTTTGCCAAATATGCCATTTTCGCCAAAATCGCCACTTTCCAAAGGGCCCCTTTGCCATCTCATTTGAATTTTTGTTTACAGCTTGGAGATTTTGGCGATTAAGCGCCATTTCTGCCATTTTCGCCAAATACGCCATTTTCGCCAAAATCGCCACTTTGCTGAGGGCCTCTTTGCCATCTCATTTGAATTTTTGTTTATAGTTTGGCGATTTTGGCGATTAATTGCCATTTCTGCCATTTTCGCCAAATACGGCATTTTCGCGGAAATCGCCACTTTCCAAAGGGCCCCTTTGCCATCTCATTTGAATTTTTGTTTACAGTTTGGCGATTTTGGCGATTAAGCACCATTTCTGCCATTTTCGCCAAATACGCCATTTTTGCCAAAATCGCCACTTTGCAAAGGGCCCCTTTGCCATCTCATTTGAATTTTTGTTTATAGTTTGGCGATTTTGGCGATTAATTGCCATTTCTGCCATTTTCGCCAAATACGCCATTTTCGCCGAAATCGCCACTTTCCAAAGGGCCCCTTTGCCATCTCATTTGAATTTCTGATTAAGCGCCATTTCTGCCATTTTCGCCAAATACGCCATTTTCGCCAAAATCGCCACTTTGCAAAGGGCCCCTTTGCCATCTCAATTGAATTTTTGTTTATAGTTTGGCGATTTTGGCGATTAATTGCCATTTCTGCCATTTTCGCCAATGCGTGCATTTCTGGACATATCTCAAAGTAAAATGACAATTTTACTCAAGATCACTTAACTTTCCAGAGAAAACTTACCTAAAAATGCATTACTTCCACCAACTTTAGCAAGCTGGTATTGCCTACATCGTTGTCCTGTTGTCAGTGTGTTGAGGCCTCGAAACGGGATGCTCAGCTCGTAGAAATTTTCCGTTTGAATTTTTTCCAAGTGTCTACATTTTTTCTTTACTAAATGTCCTTTCTGTAAAAGGTCCTCGGCTATCTCTTTTTCTTTTGCTGTTATGTGGACGTACTCCAGATCTTTTGCTTTAATGTCTGGCGACAAAAAGTCTTTGTGCATGACGAGAAAACCAGCTCCGTCTAACACAAAGCATTCGTAGTTGCCATCTTTGCAGCTGGGAAAAGTGTCCGTTAGGAGTCTGACGGGAAATATTTATTTTAATTTAGTATGCTTGTGAAAGTCTGGTGGTAAACGCCACATTATCTTCGCGACAAAAGGTATTCTTAACAAAAGGCCTTATTGGCTCTGCCACGACAGTGTAAAAAAAGATAAATCACCTACACTAATTTTCTAGTTGACATTAAAAACACACACCCAGAAAAAAAAGCAAAATATTAACTTACTTATGAAAATAAGACAAAGGAAAGTCTGCACCCATAACACCAATGACCTGGTCATTTGCGCTGTGTTTGTGAGTAGCTTCACCGCGGTATACAGTATGCGAAGCGGTTATAACTACTCCTGATCCAAATGCGTCTATGTAAGGAGTGGACAAAGAGACACGCCCCGTGTTTCTGAGCGCGGCATGGTACCTATTGTAAAAGTAAAAACATATCCAGTTAGTCATAAAGCCGAAGTATCGTCCTGCACATTATTTCGCGTCAAAGGTGTGTTTATTACCTTAAGGTCTACAACGGATGGGGAGGGTGGGAAAGTCAAAGTCTGCGATTATTTAAAGGGTAAAGAGTTCTTCTTTTACGTCTATAGCTCGAAATAGTCATTTGACCGTAAGAGAGCTGCGGCCCACGATGCGCTCACTTCACTCCCCCCACCACCCTCTCTCTCTCTCCATCAGTGTTTTTAAAGCTATACGGAAAGGAAACAAGCCAGAAGGCAGGATTTGAAGTCGCAACTGGGAATCGAACTCAGGACCTCCCGCGCAGAAGGCCGCGCAGTATCCCGTGCTAATCCTAAATCCTTCAAATTAACTAGGCGTCTTCTCTTTAGGAGTTGTTTATGTTGTGATAGACACATTTTGGCAAACTCTAAATGACAGTCGGATTTATCGCCATAAACTGTATGAGGTTAAACCATTTTAAAAAATGGCTTTACATCTGACTGTCAATTAGAGTTTGCCAACATGTGTTTATCATAACATGAAAGTAAAAATGAAATAATCACAGCTCTTTGTACCAAAATAATATAACTTGTTAATAGTACCAAGATCTCTAGAAGTAGACCTAGTTTTGAGGAGGGAGGACTAAAAGTAATCGTATTACCATGGTCGTTTCGTTGGATCAAATGATTGTGCAATTAATGTCCCAGGTGTTAGTCTAAACACACCGTTGGCTGTGCCAAAATATCTCCACACCAAGTACTTTGTATAGTCCGCCTTTTCGCGTAACCAAATGTCATCGACCTTGCTTGAAACCAGCACTGTGTCTCTAACGCCTGGTTTGAACCCAGGATTAATCGCCCTTGAACTTGTCATGTACGATTTGTATGACTTCACTCGGGACACCGTCTCGTCCAAACCTAAGTAGGAATAGGGGTCTGCGAAGGCCTCAGCACCAAACTTCACAACAGTTATTCCTTTAAATGAGTAAAAGGTTTAGGTTAGAAGTTTCAAAGCATGGCTTACTGAACGGAACTTTGAAAGTAGTTAGATCTTAACGAGCGGACAACATATCGTGGGAACAGTACACCGTTAACATCACAAGTCATAGAGTTTACAATGTTGCCCGCTCAAAGACTCTTGGCGGATAAAAAATTTTATTGTTTGATATCTTGTGACCTGGGAGAAAAAGATAACAACGCGCGTCGTTAAAAAGTTAAACAACAACAGAAACGAAAAAAAGCAGGCCCCAGTTATTCAAAAGGTGAATAAGTAAACGTTATATTTATCCAGTAGATAAAGCAACTGGTTTTCTCCAAGTACTTATCTTTTGGATAATGATTTATGTGGTGGATGGTAATCTTCCGGTGGATAGCATTATTCACCTTTCTAACAACTGGGGCAGCCACGTAACAAGACGTAATTATAAAAATGGGTGTACAAGCATTACAGGAGGGAAAATTCGATCACTTAATGCTGGACTGGACGCGGGATAACCTTGCAGCTGCCTCATATTTAGTCGATTGCTGTCGCACAGATCATGGTATCCCTTTTTTTTTTTTGTATGTTTAGCGCTAGGCATGGATTAAGTTCATGTCAGTAGTTTTTACAGAAATACAAGAAATTTGAAAAAGCTTGAATATTCCCACTTAAACGATCGCCACTGTGATCGGTCTCGTGAAGTTTCTCTTTAATTCTTTCCCAAAAACAATAACACCATTATTGCCAAGTTCATAAAAGGTTCCATAGAAAAATATTTTTCAGGAAGTTTTCACTTCGCAGTAGTTTATCAGCAATCAAGTTTTTGTTTATTCATTATTTCGTTTAACTTACCTTTAGCTGCATATCTAGTAAAATGAGCGCAGGGTTCATCCGGCCTTACTAAATCCAAACGATGATAGAGAAATTTAAAATCTGAAAATAAATTAAGGAAGCACAAGCAAATTACAATAAAAATTAAGATGAAAAAGTTAAAGCTAGTTTAACGCAACAAGTACTTATGATTCTTGTGACAAAATTTCTTGAAGTACTATTAAGGACGTTAAGACTGAAAAAACGCGAGCCCTTTGCTGACTTTTTTTCTGTGCCTCTTTTATGAAATACCAGTTAATTTGTGTGACAAAGAAGCATACGAACAAACCTCGAAAACATGAAGAAATGAGGACTAGGCTTTGGTGGACAGTTTCATACGAATCACATCTCCTGATTTGGTACCTTTGTTAGCAGGAATGCGGGAAAGGTTTATTTAGCACAGAAACACCACGCTAAATTAGGCTTGCGGTCTCCTCTCGTCTTGCGCAACCAAGAATGTTCAATGCGATAAGTCATGCTAATGATGACAACAATAGAGACGATAGTTATAACGATGACGACGGAGATTGTCAGGCTAAGGAGAAGTTCATTTGAGGAGAACTTATTCAGCAGAATGCATTTCCGTGGAGAATGGGGAAAGGCAAGACAAAACGAAGATAAAGCGAAGGTAAGGCCTCCTCTAAGCAGTCTTGCGCCATCTCCCTTCCCGTCTCTTCCATTTAGAACGTATTTTACCTACTCCTTAAAGACGGTTTTATACTCTACTTATTGAGAAATCTAATACAACTGATGGCTGATTGCGTTCCCTGTCATCAAGATCTATATTCAATTTTCCCGATTCTACAAACTCGTCTTTTTATCGATGAACACGAAACATCAGTCTTCCTTTATATTTAGAACTTTACTTGTATGTTGATAATATGGTGATGTACTTACCTGAAGGAATACTTTGAGTTGAGAGTGTTTCATCCTTATCGCCATCTGCCACCACAATTCCAACGGTGAATTTGGTTTTTTCAACTGCTCTCCAGAAGTACGTAGATGGTACATCTAAAACTGAAACTCCCTCCTTGATTTTCCCACCACGAGCAAGAAACCGCTTTGACGTAAATGACTTTACCCCGGATCCACCGCTATCAAAGCGAAAAATAACATAATAGAAAGCGTAATGGATATAAAAGTTAATGGATTCCTCTCGTACCCCTAAGAATAAATAAATTTCTCGGCACTAACTCTAGAAAGCACTTACACTTTGATAGAGTTAAAAATCTCATGAAATTCAGGTTCTGGTTCCAAAGCTGTAATGTCCATAAAAACTGGGTCACCGTAGACGTCTGAAGGGGCTGGGAGAAGAGGGTGCATCATGGTCCTTCCAGAACTATCCGCCATCCAGGCATAACTTCGCTGACCTCTTTGAAAATATGTAACTTCAGACAGAAGATCTGCCATGCTAATATCTGTCCCAACAACACCGATGAATTTTCCTTGATGATAACATGGCAGTGTTATCGAAGTTAACAGACCTGTAGGAATAGGAAAACCAATCAGACACCATATAAGCAAGTGTGCATATATGTTGACATCTAAATATATATTGTAGATAAAAAATTAAGAAATTAATTTCTTTCTGAAGTTATCCAACTTTCGCCATAAGAAAGACGAAAACTGAATTCCTTCTGAAAAAAAAAACGACCTGAACCTGTTATCATTTGAAAACAAATAACTGGTCTGCAGAGGACTTAAAAAACACGTCAACTACATGAGTTAGTATGTAGTAAGTGTGAGATTTCACATGCTCTTATAGTTACATGCGCTAACATGAATGGCGGACGTAATGACAGACGAATTGGTCACAATCAAGTATTTCCTGGATGCACAGATAACCAAATTTTGTTATTCATGGTGCTTTGTTGGCCGCGCTTCGAGGGCGCAAGAGCTCCACTATGACGTCTTAGCCCAATTTACAGCTTTAGTTGTCCAACAATTGTCAGTTACACGAGCTAACTTAAGAGTGTCCTGTGGTATGTAAGAAGTTCGAAGTTGTAAACCTGTAAACTACATCATAGCGTTTCTTACCTGTGCCAAAAGCGTCAACGTAAGGAATGGATATGATTGGTTCATTGCGAATTGTCTTTGACGAAAAAAAGTCGTAATAGGTTGCCATGTCATTCCGCAAGGTGTTTGTATTTGACACATATGTAAATTTTCCAGCCTTAAAGAAAAATAACATCAGTTATTGCTGTGGTAGAGGTATACCAGTACATGTATCTCAAAAGTTGATAGCAACCTAGCTAGAGGCTCATACTTTTTTGCCATTATTTGAATACCAAACGACAAAAAAGGCAAATAAGCAAACATTACCCCAGCATCTCCTCTACTCTTCTTAGAAGGGATAAGCAATGGAAAACTTAACAACTGAATCGCTGTTTCTACGGTGTCTGTCAGCAGACGGTATTAGCGATTATCATGGATAATGCATGCACTTATTTTCGAAGGCGTCAACACGGTCGTTATAATACGAGCAACAAGCGAACTGCTTGTGGTACTCACAATTTTTTTTTTTGTTAGTTTTCCAAAAAGAGCTATCTCTGTGATAGCGCTTTAAAAAATCACTTTATTCTCTAAAGAAAACTTAATGGGGTGTTGTGAAATGAACATTTCAGGTCTTAAAGGCCTTGGCGAAACACCTTTACCCAAAATCGCTTTCCCTTGAATGCCCCCCCTTCCCTTGGGCCGTGAATGCAGTAACAAAGTTCATATATCTCAACATCAATGGTCTTCTTTAGCGTTCAGAAATCATTTATTTAAGTTGCTACTGTAAATACCTGAAATGACTAGTCAGGAACTGTTCCCAAGATTAAGAATATAGATAACAAAAAACTAAAAGCAGACTGAAATGATTAGGGTAATCTTACAGTGACATCAGATGGCTTTCTGACACCAAGACCTTCCTGTTCAGCAATGTAACGCAGAATTGGTAAGTTCGTCAGCATTCCATAAGTCATGATCACCACCTCATTATTCAGCTGCGCATTCTTTGTTTTTATTGTTTGCAATATTGTTTTTTCATTATCATTTGGTCTCCCATCCGTAAGAAAGATGATAACCTTTTTCCTGGAAGAACCGCTTATGTCAGATGTGCCATTGAACAGATCGAACGCTTTAATGAATGCCTTACTATAATCAGTGCCTCCTAGGAACAGAAAAAAAAATTAGTAGAGAGACTTGTAGCGTCAAACGGAAAACAATTCAACCCCATAGACTGGTTTTCCCTGCACTTGTCGTCCCGGAAGACGGGGGGAGGGGGGATTGTACTCAAGAAAGTTTTACATGGGGATTTTCGGTCCGAAGTCCAACTCCTTCTGATTGTATATTCCATTTTTGACGGAAAAGTATGATCCCTTTCGTGCACCTTCTGCTGATACACCTTCCACATACCTAGTTTACTGGAAGTTTGTATCCCTTCCATACTGTTGTAAGTAAACTGTCTTTCCAATAGGAATAAATCACCGAACCATAACTTTTTCTTGACTCTTTCACAGGCATAAAATACTTCTTTTAACCCTTTTGGGCCTTTTTACAGCTCGAAATGACAGATTTTCCCACCCTTTCATATACTTCAACCACTGAAATCAGTACACTTTCATATAGCTGAAGCCTGAAGAAGGTACACCTTTCGGGAAGAGTCTCCCAATATAGGAAAATATAGGTAGTATTCCCTAGTTTTGTTGTTAATCTGCTCACCTATAGATTTGTTATATTGTATTATCAATTGTTTATTGTTAATATAAATCTTTTTTTTTAATTGAATCTTCAAAATGAAAGGATTCACCAGACTATATCAACTGTGGAATGGGAGAGAAGACAGAATAAGTACCCCTTCGTTCACCTCACCGACTTGGAAAGACTGAATTTTAAAAAAACCTCAAAACTGGAATGGGATTTTGCACGCACGCGAGAACTTAAGCAACTATGACGACAACAGCAGCAGAAACGCCAACAAAAAAGGGAATTTGCATTCGTGTTTTAAACTTAAAGGAGGATAAGGAGCATAGCTGGGAGTTAAACCTTAAAGCCTATATCTAAGTTCAAAAAGAGAAAGAGAAAGAAAAATTTGTCGCTGACGAAATATGCATGAAGTTTCGCATCGTAGTTGTGAGGTGGGACCTCATAGAAAATTTTCCAACAAAGTGTGATGCATAGGGCCAAGCAGGAATAGTGTTATTTTGCTTGTAAAACCTAGTCTGTTTGTCGATGTTCTGGCATTGCCTTCGACGTCGTGGGTGTTGAAGCTCCCTATATCATCGTCATCATCATCATCATCATCTCCTAATAGCATTTGTCCGCTTATTCCATTAAAAACTAAACGAATTACATGTGAACGTAAAGAGACACGGAAAGAGGCAGAATTTTTTTCTCTTTAAATCTTATTTTGAATTGCTCTCAAATAATTTTAACCTTACCGTCAGCAAAGATAGTTTCTACGTATTCTTCCAAGTATTTAATGTTGATTGGCGTAGCATCAGCTAAACGTTGGCTATGACAGCCCCTTCCATCGCCATCATATTCGACTGGGGTGGAGGCATCTCCATTGAACTTTACAATTCCAATCTAATAAAAGAGACCAAGCAAACATATTAGCACCGCCTTTCCTAGATGTTGGTGGAAAAAATGACTTAGCGCATCATTGCATTATGTCGTGGCATTAGCGCGCCACTTGAGAGTGACAACGGCAAGACTAAGCCAGCCTAGGTATCCATCTATCATTTTTTTTTGGGGGGGGGGAGGGCGGAGGGTGGGGGCAGTAAAGGCAATGACATTCAAACATTCGAAACTTCTGCCTTCTTACTTTTTCGCCATAGGAACCAGCAGCATGGGGGAAAACTTTGTTGCATGCGACGAGGTGCTTAGCGTAACTCTACGACACAAATTTTGCCGTGTTAATAAAACCTAAATGTACAACAAACTTATGACTCTCGACTGTTAGATCTTTACTCAACTTATGACGCAAAAGGTAAATTCATCTTAAGCATATTTTGCTTCAAAGTATTACCATGGAAATCGGCCTCTTCACCCGTCTGCCCACTCCATATTTTCACTGTTTCCGATTAAGCAAACACAAACAAGTATTTTCGGTCCGCCAACATAGGGTCCACTTAATGCAGGATCCACTGTACTCGCCTTTTGCGTCTTACGAAGTAACTCTAACGTGTGGAACTAGATTCTTATCTTTCCGAAAATTTGCTACACACTGGGTTACCTATCAACTGAGCGCATAACTTTGATTTAATAATGAATTCTAAATGTAGTCGCTATAGTATCGCCCCATGTAAGGGAATCCGGATTCCGGAATCTGAGAAAATTTTGGCACGTAGAATCCAGAATCCTGGGCTTTGGAATCAAGAATATAGCTCAAGGAATCCAGAATCCTACTAGGAAATGGAATCCAGAATCCAAGCTTTACTGAAAAAGACTGGAATCCAGCACCCGGAATCCGGAATCCATGGAATAGGATCCAGAATCAAAGACTGTCTTGGATTTCCTTACGTGGGGCGACTAATGGGACATTACGAACTTAAAACGAAATCAGCTATGTAATTACGTCACACCAGGCTTACATTGACGCTAAGCTTACAGTCATAGTAGGACCATATCTTATCAAAATTAATGCGAACATTTTCGAGGCAGAGAAAAATAATACCCTTGCACTATTTCAGAGTTAATATGGCCTTCAAAGTATGTTTTGATGATCCTGCCGTTCTTGCAAATGCTTTACGTTCAGTTAACCTGGTATTTTATCCTACATCTGCGCACGTACGGTCGGAACGTTGGAAAATACTTACCCTGTCCCTTGGATTCATCGTTCTCAGGACAGTTTTTGCAGCTTCCTTCGCGACTATCATGCGTGAACCACTCATCGAACCACTGTGATCAATAACTAGAACAACATCTTTTGGTTCAGGCGTGGCTGTTTCCACGTAAAAAGGTCTAAATCGAGGATCATAAGACCCACAATCTGCGGTATCTTCCAACGCTGGAAAGCTCGACAACACACCTTGTTCAGAGGCAAAGTATTGCCATTTCAGAACGGGGTAATCTTGAGAAATCTTCTTCATTTTCTCCACCACAGAATCCGCAACATGGGTGGGAGAAGCTGGAGCATTTTTAGATACCTTCACGCATATTCGTGAAAGGTCGACTTTTGAACGAAATCTTGAATCGTATTCTGATTGACCAGAATTTTTAACCTGGCAGCATTGTGTTGGTGTTCGTTCAGGTGCTGCAGTCCAAGATCTTTCCACGGCCAATTTAAGTTCTCGTACAACATTGAACCCCTCTTTAAACTTGTTGGCAATGCTTGCAGCCAAGATAGGAATAGCTGTACTACCATTCACAGGTCTCGCAATGAACTGCAAATTGTCAAACGCGTCCTGGAAATTTAAAATACAATACCGTGAGTATTGTACTAAAACAGTTAAAGAAATGAGAGCTCATATGGCAAAGTTCAAGTTATAAAGGGAAATGAAGTTGAAAATATACGACATAACTTATAAAACCACTGCAGTGCAACCATAGTGGTAATGTTATTAGTATTTTCCAAACCAGTGGATTGTAGTTTTAGCGAGTTGGCTACCGTAACCGGAAATATATTGGGATGGGCGTCAATATGGCGTCCCGTTTTGCGACAGTTCTCGAGGCCCGGTATTTTCGCGTCTAATGAAGTAGTTCTAAAAAAAATGTAAGAAAGAGGAGAAATTCCAGCTTCTTGGTATCTATTGGTAGGTATAGGAATTATTTTTTCAATGACTTTGTTAAAAAATCGTGCGAAAAGGCACTCTACAACTCCTCGACACACCGTTATAGTGAAGCGTAAACAAACCGGTTACTAAGTGACGTCCATTATTTACAAATTAAAGTTACCTCTTCATTCTTACCAAAACATCGAAAATCAACTACCCTCCTTCAGGTTAGCAGCATAACGCTAGATATATACCTCTATTCCCCTTCTGGGGATGGTTGTATATTTTTACTACCGCATAATGCTTTGCTGGTTCATGGCCCTTGGCATTACGTATTCATGTACTTTTGTATAGAGAGAGACTATAGCAGGTAGCCGGTTTCTTCTCCGAGAAAATTTTGTCACATGTACATGATATTATATCTATTAATTTAGAAAAATTGATTTAAGAAAAATTAGGTCGTTTGCAACGGGTGAATTGTCCATTTACGTGAAAGTAGTAAGTCTACTAATAAGTAAGTCTCTCAGGCTATAACTGGATATTGCTTAGTCGTAATACATACTAACACAACGATGAACATTTTAAATATAAGAGACAGGGTTTATCTATTTATTATGATTATGATTATTATTATTATTATTATTATGATCATCAAGTGTTCATTGTCCCGGGAACAAAATGTTACATTTTTAGTCTGATCCACTCTCGAAAACTTAGACTTCATGGACCTTTCTCAAGATGCCAAGAAGAGCAGACTTTTGCAAAGTACTAACACTCTTTGGAATTCCTAACTCCTTCAAATGACTACTTATTAATTTTTTCGGTTCTCTCAAAGCTTCCACAACGACTCCAGGTATACTTGATTACTGGCCGCTTAATAAAGGGTTGCAGCCTAATAAGTGGCCACTTAATGGATCCAAAGGCTCAACTATCTCTTTGTTCTCTTTAAGCCGTATTTCACGATAGCGAGGTCTTGATATTTAAGATCTTTTAACTGTTTTTCTCTTTCTCTCTTAACTTTGAAGGTTCTTAGGTATAGATAGTTGGTGATCTCCAGCTAAGAAGCGCATTAAATTTTATGGTGTGGGCAATGTTGTCGTTTTTTTTCGTGGACATTTAACCTGATTTGTTTCATGTCTTGTTCAGTTTGTTTAGAAAATCCCATAATATTTTCACTTCTTCATTCTCAGTTTTTCCTACAGGGCTATGTTCGTATCACTTGCTACTTATATAAAGGTTAGAATGGATACCCCAAAGTCAGATTGTCATCTTCACTCAAAATAAATGATAGAAGTCTTATAACTTAAAGTAGTAAATAAGAGAAGAAAGAAAACAGAAGAAAACAGTAGGTAGTATGTAGGACTTCATTGAACCCGCGTCATTTGATGTATAATCCACATCCGTATCCACTACACCATCAAGGGCTAACTGCCGACACCGGATAATTTTAACGTACTTTACATGGCATTGATCAATGCAATATTGAAAGCTAACTGTTTCTTAAACAGTGCTTACCCCTAATCGCTGTACTTCGGTGCCAAACCCTGTATTCAACTCTTTTCCTTGCACAACTGTCTCCTACTCTGATGTCCCCACTTTTCTCAAAAATGTGCCCAATAAATTCGCTTAAATCTAGTATAGAGTGGTATTGAGTATAGCGTTGTGTAATAAACATAAGGTGTCCAACCTGATTATCCATTCTAGTCACAACCCTTATATAAATGGGAGTTCATAAACTTAGCAAAGTCCCCGAAGAACAACGCAAGCCTACGTGCCGTGCCTCATTTCCCAGGCACTCTAATTATTATTTTATATTATTATTATTATTATTATTATTATTATTATTATTATTATTATTATTGTTATTGTTACCTTTTTTCATGTTCGCGCTTTTAAAGGCCTAACGCTAACGTTCGTGTGATGCCACAATGGCTAGTGCCCAATCACGATTGGGCTTAGTCATTGATTCAAGGAAATCCTTTTCTTTAGATAAAGAAAACGTCGCGTTTTTAACAATCGCTTACTGGTATTACTAAGCCGGCTATTTTAAGACTTTAAACAAGGTTTTAAGACGATTTTCTGCACAATTTTCAAAAACTAACAACGCCAAATCACAAATACTGCTCAAGGTCGTTTCCTGTAACATACATGACGTCAATCTTCCGCACAGCGCCTTTGTAGAACCCTTTTCACTTCCTTTCCTGTGCTTAAAATCGTCCCGTGTAACACGTCGTCTGTTTCCAACGTTATACTACTACATGGCAAATTTCTGCAGTTTGATTGGCTTAGAGCAGTGGTATTTCAGCTTTATTTGAAATACCTACAGGTAAAAATTACAAACCTTTTGCGGGTAGTAGTATAAACAAATAATAGCATGATTTGTACGTGATATTTGACATAAATATTACTCGTGATATTTCAAAATTTTCTAAAATTTCAACTCGCCTAAAGGCTCGGGTCTTTAATACGACGTTGAACACGTTTAGGTGAAGACTTTCAGATCTGAGGGTTTCTGAACTTGCTAGTCAGGTATATATATTAGCGGCGGAGCTAGGAAAAAATGAATTTCAAAACTTTCCCCGAATTCGCACAAGTGAGGCTACTCCCAAGCTAGGTATATAAAAGAATTTCTACTCTAACTTAGGGATCACCTTGTAGAAAATTTAAGGTTAGTGATTCAATTTAATACGGACACTGAGAGGATGAGAGTTCTAAAGTGAATAACCGGGATTTCTGAAAACGGATCATGTTATCTGGTAAAAACAAATACACCTTTTTCTTGTACAAGTTAAAGATATACTGTAAAAGAGAACATATCAGCATCGTCAGATTAAACAAGTCTTACCTTCACCAAACCGTCATTCCGCGGAGCTATGTCCATGGAGCGCTCACAAGCGCTCATTTTTACATTACTCAACATGCCAACATAGTCTGAAATTGACGTTTATGTTCCTATTCAGTGCACTGTAGCGCTGGGAACATCACTGAACATGCTGTCACTTGAAGGCTCTAAATTTTATTGTTCTTATTTGTTTACTATTATCATTTTGAAAAAGGAAAGGTTTAACACGCAGTTGACAGGTGTCTGCATTAACGAGGTTTACCGGATTCTATGAGAATCTGTTCATTGGCACTAAGAAACAAGTGTCCGTTGTCCACATAACTGAATAAACGGGTGTCGGTAAGGGCCTGTTTACATGGAGGAGGGGGACCCTAGATAGGTGAGGTAACATGTGGCAGGTCACTCCACCTACCATGTATATGTGATCAAACTAAAATACGAGGTTATATGGATTGGCGGAAATTTAGAAAAATGTAAGTGCTTTCCCCTGGGACAAAGAGAACTGTCCATAAGAATGAATGAGTCCGTATTAATCGAGGGGTCGTCTGTATAATACAAGAGAACTTGCAGTGAACTTTTAAATGACTAAGTAAAAAAAGAAAAAAAGAAAGAAGCAAAGTATTTGGAAGATGACTTACTTGTAATGTGGCTGTTCCGAGACCGTCCCTTGCTAGTGTAGAGAGCGTCTTACTAAATTTTGTAACATCAAGTTGTGCTACGGAAGATGGAATAAACAATGTTGACAAAAGCAGAAAAATCATGAAAGACATACTGCTGAGTAGACTTGTCAGTAAATTCATCCTTCAGTGAGGAGAAAGCTATGAATACTTTCTTTGCGCTGAAGCTCTTATTATTGCCGTCAAAAACTAATCTCAGGAACACAAACGTTTTAGGATTTTTTGTCATGTGACGTTATTCATTTATGTCATTGAATGTTCCTTCCTCACATCTGACGTGTTTATCTATTTATCATGTGAATGACAATTTCTGTATTTTGGAAAAAACCGATAAATAGGGAGATTTGATTGGCTTCTGGCATTGCAGTTAATATGATATAAATTCCAGCCAGATGCTGTGTAGAGTAAAAGTACTGAAATTTAAATTTTTAAATTTGATTGTGTTACCCTGCCTGTCCATTGTTATACGTGACATCTGACATGTTAAAAATGGACAAAATATTTTGGCATTAACTTTAATACATGTATTAAGATATTTTTTTAAAAAAGTTAAAAAGTTTAGCTTGTTAACTTGTTGAACGTTGTAAAGAATTTCATAATACAGTAGAGACTTTCAGTACTATCACTGAGCAGGATTTGTTTGGCCACACTCTCAACAATTATTGAAACTTAAGTGATAATGACATCCTATTTGATGTTCGTGAATGTCGGCACTTACGGTAGTAAACGGAAAGTTGGTTAGAGTCTAATATACTCGGGAACAGGAAGCCTTAGAAGTTCATTCGAGTTGTGAGAAAAGGATTAAAATGTTGATGAGTCATGCTACAGTAAAATTCCAGTATCTTTACATAAACACTTATAGTCATGTGTGTCACTGGATGGAAGATTTCACTAAGAGGAGGTTTCACACGGAAGGGAAAAACAGCGAAGCAGGGAAGACAATCCCGCAACCTTCAACGATTCAGGCTTATGATAAAAATTCTAGCCAGATACTGTGTAGAGTAAAAGTACTGAAATTTAAATTTTTAAATTTGATTGTGTTACCCTGTCCATTGTTATACGTGACATCTGAGATGTTAAAATGGACAAATTATTTTGGCTTTAACTTTTAATACATACAATGTATTAAGATTTTTTATAAAAAGTTAAAAAGTTTAGCTTGTTAACTTGTTGAACCTTGTAAA